AATTCAGGCTCAGGCTTTTTGAATGTCTGTCCCTAGCCTCAAGGGTTTGCACTGATTCTAAAAGGCAGAATTGTTAAAGATGAACTGCAATAAATTAAGATTTTTTTACCTACTTTACTTTCGTTCTGTTGACTGTTTCTAGGAAAAAATGTTGTTTGATGCCCACTTTTTCCTTTTTAAGTAAAGAACACAGAACAAATATAAAGAATTCCCTCTCTAAATATCTCATTTTGTTGCCAGACTTTTCAAAGGACTGGTGCATTTTTGGGACTATGTTATCACAAGAGACAAAAGCCCAAAGCCTTGGCAGGGAGGGAAAAAAGTTTTGTTTTAAACTTAATATTTGCTGCCATCTGTAACTCAGACCCCCAATAGCCTCTCAGAGTGTGTGTCTACCAAATTAATGCACTTGAATAAACACCAGTGTTTATTACACCAGAGTTTACATGTTCGTCTTAGTTCTTTGTTTCACTCAGAGAAGAAGAGTTTCATTTTCAGAGGATCCTCCATTCTCTCCTTTCTGCCCAGCACCTAGGACCCAATGCACAACCCAAAATGACACTCTGAAGGAACCAGTAGGCCTGAACTTATGTGTCTTTGGTTGTTTGTTCTCATCCCACCCCCATAGCTAAAGTAGCTGAACACCTTCTAGCTGTGCATTAAGTGCTGTGACTCCTATCTGTTTCATATGGTTTGTTCTCAAACAAATAGCTGCATAGCCAGGCAGACACAGAAAATTGCCAAATGAGTGATCATTTCAGTTACATACAAACACAAGAGTGGAAAGTATCACTTGGGTCACTGCAGCTAAGCTGTAACAGGACCCCATCTCCATTACTGAAGACAGGGGAAATAGAAAGCTGTGGGCAGGCCCCAAGGCACTACAAAGGTTACTGGGAATAAAGAAAGACAGGACCAGTCACTCTGGCCCAGGTGTGCAGGAGGCAATCAGGCTTCAGAGCTCAGAGGCTGCGAAGTGGGGTTAATGTGCATAATGGCATAGAGGTTAGTCAGATGACCAAAGAGGGCGGGTCTGGGGTCTTGTATAGGGCCAGTTTCCCTAGGGAGACCTCAGTCTGATCCATGCCAGCCACAGGAAGGAGCTCACCACAGCAAGACTGCCAGACATTGGCCTGTAGTTAAGGGATTTGAGTTGCATATTTGTGTCTGTTGTTGTACCACCTGAAGAACAGGTTGTGGCTATGGGGATGGAAGGAGGCCACTGAGCAGCTGGAGCCTAGTTACTGAAAAAGGGTGGGCCTAGAGGCCAGCAGGCCTCAAAGGAAGAGGATCTGAGCCCATGGACCTGATAGAGAGGGCCCAGGGCTCCACTAAGATAGGGTGGGAGGATCAGAACTGACTAGTGGCCTGATGATGATAAGTGGTGTGAAGCAGGCACCTAACTCCAGCTTTCTCTGAAGGCAGCCTCCAAGTGTGTGTGTGTTAAAAAAATTTAAAAATAAAACTAAGATCAGGCAGGCAAATTGGGAGGTTGGTGCTAGAGCTGAAATAGGAGTGCAGCCCAGTGTGATCACTAGGGGGTGCCGTAGACAAGCCTGGAGGCCTAAGCCTCTACAACACCCCCTGCAATCACATGCAACCATGGAATACATTAAACAACACAGGGTTAGTGAGCTATACTGTGACATGCAGTTGCCTGCTTCATCCATTCATACAGTATTGTGGAGAGCTCTGGAAGTCTATTTGACTCAGTGGGCGCATCTACATGTGAAACTAGTCAGACACAAACTCTGGCATAGTTCATGCCAGAGTTTATTGCTCCCAGGTGCAATGTTTACGCTTGTGCCCAAGACCACAGCACATTGAGCCTGGGTGGCACAGCCCTGGCTGGCAGGGGGCCCCCAGGGGTCAGCCTGCCAACCCAGGGCTGCTCCAACCCAGGTCAACATGCTGCAAGGGGCTGGCTGGGGCATGAGGGTGCTACAGTGCAGGTTAACTGGCAGGCAGCCCCTGTACTATATCACCTTCATGCCCCAGCCAGCCCTGTCACCACCAACAAGTGCTGTGCAGCACAGTAAATAACTCATAGGATAGTATTTGTCTCAGGCAGTACTAACCTATGACAGAGCTACTTAGTTTACTTGAGCCTAATAGCTTTGCACAAAGATGCTTTACTGCAGAGCTAATTAGGCGATTCTGCACTAAGTGTCTCCTACAGCTGCCCTCAGTTAGTAGCTGAAAGAGAGCAAGGAGGTACTGTAGTGTGAACACAGCGTTACACAGTGCAACCTTTATCCTAGAAAAAACCCCACTTAAGTTTGTACAGTACCTTGCTTGACCTTGGCCAAAAGGCAGTCAAAGCCAGCAGTGGTCGAATCCTCTCAGGTTCTGCTCTATATTTGCTCTATGGCAAACACATTTACTTAGGAGCATAGGGTTGTCAGAGACCTCCTGGGTCATCAAGTCCAGCTACCTGCTATCACAGATGTGTAACCCCTCCAGAAACATATCTAGCATCATTTTAAAAGTGATTGGGTTTCTGCCACCCTCTAATCCCACTGGAGGCTTTTATAGAATCTAACAGTTCTATCAGATCTTCTTCTAACTTCCAGCCAAATCCCCATAGCCAATTTGTGGAGATGAATTACATGCATTAAAATACTGCTACGTTTAAGATACAAACTATCAACAGGGCTAACAGGTGGAAGCTTCTTAGTTACCAATTCTCTTAATTTATGCACACCTAGGTATTGTCAGAGACACTATCAAGTCCCAGACACTGTGGGATCAACTGGAATTGGAGAGATTACCCTCTAACTTTGCTTTGTTTCTGCCTCAGCCTGAACACTGGGAGTTGGTATTTGCACAGTATGGTTTGAAAACTAGGGCATATCCTCATGATTACCTGTTGACACAAGTCAGAATATTTTTTCTCCTGTGATTCAAAATCTCTCCGAGGTACAACATCTCCATAGTCTGCTTTCATGGTGTTCAGTTCCACCTGGGCTTTCGTGAGGTCCCGCCGAGCTATCTTTAATGCCAGCGTTAACTTCACTATGTCTTCACTCTTTACATCTTTAAACAACAATTGGTAACACTGTCAGGCAAAAGGTCAGACGTGCAAACCTGCACTTGCAACTTTCGGAGGGTGGTATTCCCCATCAGTCTCTTAGAGTGATATTAACATGGTCGGACACTGAATGGCTGAGCTCCCCACCTCCACAACTTCAAGACAGTGCAATCTTTCCAGCTCTCATAATTTCTTTGGGAGTCACAGTTTCAGTCATACAATTTTCACTGTAGCCAGTGTTACAAGCTAGTGTATCCCCCTGCTTAGTTGACTGTCCCACTTACCTGAATTTTTGGAAAGAGCAACCAACCAGGGCAGTGCAGGAAACAGCCAGAGCCCTCCCCCTCCTCTTCAGAAGATAGGAGGTTATGTGCAGGGAGGAGATAAAAGAGGAGGTCCTACTGTCTGCACAGAAAGGGATTGGGAGGACAGAGCAAAAAGGGCTTCCTTTCCCCCCACCTTACTAAGAACAACAGGTCTTTCTGCTCTCTCCTCCCTCCCCACTCTGGATCTCTACACCTGGCTTGGGGAGGAGGAGAGGCAGGTAAAGAGCCCTAAGAGCTGCAGGAGGAGCAGGAGTAAGGTGGGGAGAGGGCAGAACTGCTGCAGGACACGTTCAATTGCTGGACTGGGGAAGCGACAGCTGGAGGAGTTGGGACAAAACATTAACAAAGAGGGTGGTTTGTGTGGGGTGAAGTGATGAGCTCTGCACACTCAGGCAGCCACAAGAGCTCCTGTGGCAGGGCTGGCACCACCAGCGTCACCTTGCTCAATGCATTCCAGCAAGATTGTCACATGAATGGTGGGGCTGGGGGATGGGCAGGAGGAGTCCAACTGTCCAAAGCCAGACCAGAACCAGGGTATCAGGTTGTTTGGTTTTTGATTTTTTTAAGTTTCATGATTTGGGGGCTCTAACTGATGACTTCTGAACTGCTGGGGTTAGCCTTGTTGCAGGTCTGGGCATTAATTCCCTTCTGTAGTATCATGCAACTCATAAGATTGATCTAACATCTCTCCCTGTTCCCATTTCAAGAGAGCCTCTATTCAGTTCTTTCTCCTCAGCCCTTGTCCATGTTGTGTGTTCTGCTCATTACAGAGTAATGATCTCAAAAGGCAGATCTCTTGTGAGGAATCAGAACTCCTGCCTCGTTGTACAAGGGCTGTACAAGCATATATGATGATCTGACCCAAAGGATCTTACACCACAATAACAAAGACTGCACAGGGGTTGGGAGTAGGAGGGTTACATACTGACATACACAGCACCTAAGTCATACAATTCTTCATCTGAGCATTAGAAATAAATGCATGGAGGTTGGCACTTACTTCCTCTCTTTAGATTTTTTAAAACTGTGCATGTATATATTTAGCAATATCCTTCCCCTTGATATTGTATATCACCTGTCTTCTTCAATTTTAAGTGCATATCTTTCTGTGCAGGAAGTATCTATGTATTTATTTGCCTAGCGCTCAAGTCCTCACTGGCACCCCTGCCTGTTGTTATAATGCCAAGATTTAATAAATAATAAAGGCTCCTTGTCTGGAACTATAGTGTTTAGAGTATGATCTCTTTGAAGGCCTATACCTCTACCCTCTTTCTCTCCCATATTTCAAGCCATAGGTTGGATCTTAGATTAGTGACAGGGGAAAAATCAGGAAGAAGGATGTCTGAAAATTCAGATCTCCTTAGAGGGCGCTCATAGGGACACGACGGCTGTTGGCATCCAATATCTAGCAGATCAGCAGGTGTAGTAATGCAGGAGCCATTTTACTCAGTGTCACCGTTGCTGGCAGGCAATGTTGTGGTCACAAACTCCAATCAGTTTTGTAAACGCAAATGCTAAAGACCCTTGAACTCCAGGTTGGTCCATTCTGAGGGTTTGATCCCGCAGGCTGCCAAGTGCCTGACTCGGATACCTGCTAGTGGGTCAAAAGACATTAAGGACACTCAGCACTTTGAAGGGTCTGGCCCCAGTTTACCTATTGCACAAAGAGGAGGAGTACTTTGCAGTACTTGGTAAGTGGCTCTGTGTTTGGGTCTTACAGGGGTTCCTTCTGTACCTTGAGTTTGGTGGAGCGTCATCTCCAACTGTTGACTGCGCATTTCGTTCAGGTCTGCTAGAAGCAACTTGCGGGCATCACACTCATTACGGTAGTGCAGATACTCCTCAGACACATTCTTCTGCAGCTTATTCACCTGCAGGAGACAGAAGGCTGCACTGATCTCAGAACACTAAGGACCTCCCAGAACCAGCATGGCAGCATGATTGGTATAAATATTTTCTCAGAACTCGCATGTGACAACCTAAATAACTCATTCATGGCTTCATCACTGCTGGTCTAATGCCTTGTGTACACAGTTGCAATTAAATGCCGTTGGCAAAATGGACATATATACATAGCTCAGAAGTTCTGACAGTACGCACAACTGAACACATGATATATAGGGAATATAATATTTGTTAGGAATGGTGGGGACTTAGAATCATTGTCAGACTGAGCTCTCCATCATACCCCCACATTTTCCAGTGAAGTAAATGGAGAAGTTTCCAATGCCTTCAGCTGGAGCAGGGCCAAATTGTATGTTTCTATACAGCATTAGATGGTCTGGGAAATGTCTGGCTGATCATAGACCCAGTTTACCTGAGCCTGAAGGGAAGCTTTCTCTTCTTTCATTTTATCAATGAGCTTTAATAGATACAGTTTCTCTTTCATTAATGTCTTTATTTTAGCATTTTCCTCTTTCTTGAATGCTGAAATCTTCTGAGTGCATTTATCTGACACAGTTGCAAACATAGATTTCAGGGGCTCCAGGGCACGGATCTTCTCTCTCTGGGCATCTAAAGACAGCAAAACATGGGCTTTCATCAGTAAGCACCAAAACCACCTTTTTCTCAGCAGCACTTTGGAATTGGGTAAAATAATCAATCAAAAAATTATTCTCTAAGATGAAATCTGGACAGCAGGCTTTTCACTTCATCGGCTATGGCGAGTGGCTGAGGTCTGGATTTCTTTGGAATTTGATCTTTGGGACTATTCTGTTTTAATTACTGGGTACACATACAAACTCCATGTGAACAACAACTGCTATTTATATGGGGCACCAGGCCAAATGCAAGAAATACTCTGGCTTTTTTGTTCACTCTGAATTTTCATAAGAGGCAACCAGCACTGTTATGGTTTGCATTATCTCACAGGGTGACCACCTATCACCCTTTCAGTACTGTAGACCTAAAGTCAGCTGGTAGCTGACCCTCCTGTTGCAAAGTGGCAGTCTTCATAACACCCCCTCCACCCTCTTTTCCTAGTGGAGGTATCATACATCTGGAAACATGCCCCTGAAACATTCCTATGATAGTCAAAACTCCTTTCCCTTTCAGGTACACTTCTCCTCCTCAGATCTTCCCTTTGGTTTCTCTATAAGATTGTCCCTCATGACACACGACACATCACCACCTTGCTCTCTGGATCACCACCTTGCTCTCTTTGGTAGAGCACATAAGTGCCCTTTTTGTTTGCTCTTCTATAATTTGGATGCTTCACCCTGAACAGAATCTCACCTCTGGCTGAAATGTATTTAAGCAAAACTTATCATGGTGAGTATAATGATTACACCTGACTTGGTTTCCAACATCCCAGCTACAAATATACAAGTAGGTGCCAGAGTGTTTATTTGATTTCCTCTCTCTCATAGGGAGGCTGTGGTAGGAGTGCCTCTTCTGGAGTCCGTCTATCGGTGACCCCGCCCTCCTGTTATGGGTCAACCACCTGCCTTCTTGCCTGCCATACCTTGATTATAATTAATTAATGGATGTTAATTAGCGGGAGGCCCATTTATTTGCCCTAGTGCCAGGGGGCGCTATCTGCGGCTCCTTTTTTCCTCCCCTACACCGCAGCCCAAGCCTCGCAGATGATACTGACGTGGTTTGATCTGGACCTTGTTGTAATTTGGCCCTCCCTTTGTCCTCCCTGGGCTTTCCACAGCCCTGTCTTGCTCTGGCTTTCTCCGTGCCTTCCTGGCACTCTGCCGCCCCAGCTCTCTGAGGCTTCTCGCTGCCTCCACTCTCTGGGGGCTCCTCGCTGCCCCCGCTCCCTGGGGCTGGGTTCCCACACTGCTGCGGGTCCCTTATGAGGCCTCCTCCATCCCCTAATAGCCCCACCCAAACCGCCGGTTAAAAAAACAAAACACAAAACACAAGCCCCTGAGCTATAACAAAAAATCAAAGCTGCCCGGCTAAAACATCATTCAATCCCTACCAGGGAATACTCCCTCCCATAACAGCATCAGGAGCTGCTTGTGCAGCCAGGCCTCTCCCCTCTGCTTGCTCTGGCAGAGCTCCTCTCCCCCTTGGCTGCCAGCAGGAAACTGCCCTCCTG